AAAAAAAAAAAAGAAAGAAAAGAAAAGGAAAAAAATGCTCCTCAGTCATCAAACAGGGCAGAACCCTTAGTACTGTTTTAGTCTTGGCTGAGAGTAAGGTAACCCCCTCATACCGGCATTTGTTCACTACCCTAGCTAAAGGAGTCACTTGCCAGTCACTGCCCATCATATAACCGCACTTTACTCTTTTGGTAGTGCTTACCAATTTCTGAACTTATTTTATTTGCTCATTATTTTTCTAGCAGGACATTAACTCCATGAAAGAAGGGGGTATGTGCTTGTTACACCAGGGTCTCTCCAGTGTCTAGGATATCTGCTGACACACAGTAGTACTCAATAAATAGATGCTGAATAGGCATCTATTGGCAAAGACCAAGTCCTACTTTTTTTTTTCTTTTTTAAATTTGCTATAGGGTACATGCACTCTCCAGAGAGAGACAGAGACAGGGAGAGAAAGTGAGAACACAACCTCCCCCACCCCAAGAGTGGTGGCCATGCCACAATCCCTTCTCCCCTATTCTCCTCTCGGGATTTTGTCTACACAAAGACATATGCTCAGCATGTTTTACAAGCCACCAGGTCAGGCACTTGAACCACACAGTCAGTCATGTGGGACCAGCCATCTTCACCACCATGCCAATGGCTGGCCCACTACTTGTTCACATATAGTTTCTTAAACTTAGTATGTTTTCATTTGCTGAATGAATTAAACTTACATTTACATTGATTATTTTAATATTTTAAAGTTAGAAGAAATATTAGATCACCCGGGACAGGACAGTCAGATAGTTGGTCAGATAATCTTCTGTTGCAGGGGTTGTCCTGTGCCTAGCAGGATGTTCAGAAGCACCTGTGACCTCTGTCCACGGGTGCCAGAAGCATCCTCTGATTCCTATCCCATCTGTAATCATTACAGTATCTCCACGTGTGCCAGCTGTCCTCTGGGGTGCAAAATCACTCCTGGTTTCGAACCACTGATCTAAGGCAATTCTTGTTAGGCTACAGGTGAAGAGATTAAGGCCCAGATCAATCAAGTAAGGGCCAAGGCCACTCAGCCAGTGAAATGCAAAACCACAATTGGGGTTCCAGGCTGAATGCATGCCCAGGGCACCTTCTGTTACACTCGACCTGAAAAGATCTGCGGATGAAATCATGCGGGAGCAACCACGGGATGTCAGTCACGCTGATCGGTCGTACCTCTCCATATGCCGCTTCGTATGCCTCGGCGATCAGCCGCCGCTGTATGCTCGACCTCTCGGCCAGGATGCTGATGAGCATGTGCTCGTCGGTCCCTAAACAAAACAGAAGTGATTTTCCCCACCATCAACCTGGACACGCTCAGGGTCTGTCCTGAACAAAAGAAACATGATCAATGGCCTGAAACAAAAGGAGACGGCAATAAGCCATTTTCATTTTTCATTTCCAGCTGCTAACCAGGTTGAATTGCCCCCCCACACACACTAGTATGTTTGCCTAGCTTTTGGGAAAGTTAACTTCATTTGGAGGCGAGAGGAAGAAAACAATTGTTGTCTACATACTCCCATCTACAGCTTTTTCACCTTCATGAGGTTAGTTACCATCTTACCATCTTTCATTTCTCATCTCCATACTTGATATCCAGTTCCTTTTTTCCTCTAGAGCTCAGGAACGGACACTTATTAAGGACCTCCCGTGTACCAGGCATCGTCATAGTAAATATTTACAGGGGCTCTGCACAGTAGGACTTAGATGTCCCTCAAATGAAGACACTTATCTCACTTGCCAAAGTCACACAGCTTCTAAGTGGTACAACGGAGAACTGGGCCCAAGTCTCTGACTCCAAAACATAACATTCTCTCTGGCCCTCATCTCTCTCATGTGCCATATACTTATTTTTTTAAAAAAGAATTATTTAGTTTTATTTATTGTTATTATTTTTTAATATGCTATAGGGCGTGTGTACTCACCAGAGAGAGAGAGAGAGAAAGTGAGAAAGCAAGCCTCCAGTCTGGGACTCAAACTGTGGATGGCCATGTGGGAATCCAGCACCTTAATCACCATGCCACCTGCTGGTCCCATGCATGTATCATTGGGATATCACCAATTGTCTGTAAATAAAACATCAGGCCAGGGCTGATGCTGTCAGCCCAAGAATGACCTCGTGGTCACTATTTTCTTGGTAATTATAGTTTTAGGATCAAGGTGGGAAGTTGTGAGCACTTCATTTGCTGTAGAGGACTACACTTGGCTCAGGAGTGAGTTGGCTTGTAGGCCTTGCTGTGCATCACTGTATCACTAGATTGGTATGAAAGACCAATTAGAACTCAACTTCTCTATGGTGAAGTGACTCCACCCCTGTCTACATGGTCCGTGGCAGTGGTAAACAATCTATGTTGATGATGGGGCAAAAGAACCTGTGCACTCAGTGGTTGGGTCTCCCAGTGTAAGATGCTGTCATTCCATATCTTTGGTCTTGTGTTCTTCTATATCTTAAGAAGATGTATTAATAACTGTAGAATTAAAGCCTGTCTGTGCTCTGAGTATGACCATCTCCTTGTACCCCAAACAGCCCCTCTGTCAGTCATACTACTAGATACCTCCAACTGCACGATCATCTCAAGCTCCGCAAGCCCCAGTCGAATCCCCTGAATTTCCTCTCACTTGCCTTTCATTCTATGTTCCTAATCAATGACACGACCACGCCTAGTCACTCAACCAAAAATCCTGCGAATAACTCTAGACTCCTTTCTTTTCCTACTCCCTATACTGTAGCAATCATTTGCATCTCTCGAATTTGTCCTCTCCTCTGCAGGTTCTTAAATTTCCCCCTTACTTGACCCCCATAAAATCATCCTGTATGCTGCTACCTATCTTTCTTGCTATATATTTTTTTTTGGGGGGGTGAGGATTTTGCTATAGGGTGTGTGCCCTCGCCAAAAAGACAGAGAAAGACAGAGACACAGTAAGCCAGAAATTACCCCCTAGGGGGGATGGCCACACTGCAATCCCTTCTCCTCCATTCTCACGGGATCTTGGGCAAGCATGCACATGTGCCTGGCATGAGTTTAAACCGCCAGGTCCAGGACTCGAACCACAGTCAACTATATGGGAGTCCAGTGACATAGCCATTATGCTAACTGCTGGTCTCCTTCTTATCTTTTTTTAAGCAATCTAATTATGTTATTCCTTGGCTAAAATCCCAATGTCTCTCTGTAACCTTTGGAATTAAGTTTAAGCACCTTGACTCATATACTAGTTCACTGTCTCTGGTTTCATTCTCCATCCCATCCCTGTGTCTTTATGCCCTATGCACTTAGATTCCAAATACACCTACCTACGCACAATGTACTTGGTATCCCTGGCAGTTTTTCAATTCCTAACTTTGCAGATGCTCAATACTAACAACCAAAGCAAACTGCCTGGTGATTCAGAGGCTGGATCTGACATGCTCCCTAATGCAAATCCATTATGCAATCTGGTTCTGGACTCAAAACATGTCAGAACAAGCAAAAAATCTCCTTTTCAAGATGGGAGTGCAAGCCAAAATGAAAAATTTATGAAGAAACAAAATGTCAAGAAAGATAGGCAATAGAATTTAAAGAGCATTCATTTCTTCCATTTGATGCTAACCTCAGAATAGTCTATTCAACACTGGGTTTAAGTGGAGCAATCAAAGAGATTAAAGAAGAAATACCTCTCATTTTAAAGTGGAAAAAAATATAAACCCCAAACAGGCAGAAAATATTACACTAACATGACGTACTAATAGTATAGTTAATAGAACTTGATCCTGAAATTCAGAGAGGAGAGCAAAGAGCCAAGACCCTCGCCCTACTAGACATGAAGTGTCATGATAAAATTATAACAGTTGTGACAATATAATATTGGGATAACAGGAGGCAAATAGACAAGTGGAACAGCACAGAGATCGGCATCATAAGTGAGAACAATATGCAGGAAATCCTAGACATGCAAAGCAGAGGGCATTATAAATCAGTGTGGAAAGAATGAGCTCTTAAATAAAGTATACTGGGACAATTAAATACCCCCTCGAGACCACATAAAGTTAGATACTTTAAAATACTATATACAAAATTCATTCTATGTAGATTAGAGATCACAGTGCGAAAAATAAAAGACTTAGGGGAAAAATGAAGGATAATATCTTAATGATCTCATTATGGAAAAGATACAGTAAGCAGAAATCCTAGAGAAAAATAATGGTAAACTTGATTCACGAAAATGAAAAAATCCTATTCAATAAAAGATTCTATAACCAATATTAAAAGAAAATCATAGACTTGGAAGAAAACCTTTTTATGGCTGGAAATTTTTTAAATGATTTGTATTCAGATATCATTAAAAAAAAAGACTTTTGCTGTGGCCACATGGTGGCACACTAATAAAACACGATGCTCTGCAAGGATGACTGATACGGGAACGTCCCAGGTTTGCACCCAAAGTCCTCCCTGAGTGAACTGGGCATATGCATCCCCATGATCAAGCGCTGGCAAAGGCTAGGGGCAGATGGCAGTGTCAAGAACCTCTTGGGGGAACTATCTTTTTCTCTGTCTCTCTCACTCATAGAAAAATAAACAAACTTTACAAAACCAACTTTTGCCAACCACAAAGAAGACAATATACTTGAAAAATAGATAAGATATATAAAGAAGTAACATGGAAGAGGAAGCAAATAACAAAGGAAAATTGCTTGACTACATCAATACTGAGGGGTAGAGAGAAGAGAGGAAACGCATACACAACAGAATGAGATGCAATTTTAGACCCACTCAATTGGGAAATCTGCGCAGTGTTACTGTAGCCAGTGCTTGACTACACAGAGCAACAGGAAGTCTTACACATCACTGGAAAGAATGCTACTCTCTATATTCATTTTGCAAGATTTCTAGTAAGTTTGAAGATAGGCATCCCCTTTAACCTAGAAATCCCAATTCTCGTCATATTATAGAGAAATGCTAGCAAATGTACACAATGAGACATAAGCAGGAATATTCACTGCGGTATTTTTATATGGTAATAGAAAAGAATTGTAGGCAATGTAAATGTCCCATCAATTTTCCCATTTTATGATAAAGTGATGCAATAGACTACTGCAGTTAAAATTAACGAACTAGAGCTAAACATGTCGACATGGATAAATCTCAAGAACATAACATAAACTGCAGAAGAATGTATACAGGATGATTCCATTTTGCTTTATTCTTTTTGAGATCATGCAAAACAATATGTACACACCCATGTAGTCATGGTATTAAAAGTTCCCTGACAATAAGTTCCAATTGAGGATGGTGTTTCTATCTAGAGAATAGAGTGAAAATGAAATCCAGGAAGAATTGACAGGGATTGTATTTGCAATGACTTATTAATATGATTGTTACAACTGATGCTGTTGGCAGCAATGGTGATGGTACTTATTTATTTAATTTAATTTACTATTGTTTTTTAATTTGCTATAGGCACATGTGCTCACCAGAGAGAGACAGAGAGAGGGAAAGTGAGAAAGTAAGCTGCCTAGTCCAGGACTCAAACTGCAGTCAGCCATGTGGGAGTCCAGCGCCTTAGCCACCACATCATCTGCTGGCCCTGTTGGTACTTTCTAATACTAAGCAAATGTGGCAAATGTTAAGATTTAATAAGACATGTTTCTCTGTACTTTTCCAATGTTTCCCAATTTTTAAAAATCCCTAACAATTTCTCTAATTGAATAAGCCAGCTGGACAAACTGAACTGGGCATTTTTTGACCATAACTTTCCTATCTGCTTGAACCTTAAGAATGGAATTGTAGGGGCCAGCAGGTGGCAGAGGTGGTTAAGGTGCTGAATTCCCACATGGTTGACTGTGATGTGGATCCTGGGCTTGGCAGCTTGAAAAATCACACTGGGTACATGTGCATGAGTGTCCAAAATCCCAAGAGGAGAATTGGGGGGGGGGGCCGAGATCTCTCTCTTTTATTTGTCTTTGGCAAGTACATGCAACCTATGGGGAAAAAAAATCTTAAAAAAAAAAAAAGGACTGGAAGAGTAAAGCATCACGTACCAATTCCTTTGATTGCCTTATGGATAGCCTCAGCATCTATCGACGGGCTAAATCCTGGATAATCTCTCACCGTTCCTCGGTTCCCAACCTAGGAGAAAATATTTGAATGTCTTACTAGTTCAAAATGACAACTTCGTTTCTATTATCTGAGTTCTTAGTCTATTTTGTGCTGTTATCACCGAGTAGCTGAGACTAGGTAATTTATAAAGAACAGATTTCTTTCTTACAGTTCTGGAGGTGGAGGCGCCCACATTTGTAAGGGCTTTCTTGGAAATCATCCTATGGAAGAAGGTGGAAGGCAGAAGAACAATAGAGCATGTGTGAAAGAGAGAGGGAAGGGGCTGAACTAATTCTTTAATTGGGAACCTGCTTCCACAATAACTAACCCATTGCTGAGATAACAGCTCTGCCTTCATGAACTAATCACCTTTGAAAGGTCCCACATCCCAACACTATTGTACTCGGGATTCAGTTTCTAGCACATGAACTTCGATAATGCTATAGTATTATCATGCACATATAGGAAACTTATGAAAAATCTGTAGTTTGCATACCCTACTTTTTTAGAAGTGGTTCAAAAGAGAACCCCTTCCATAGACAAATAGACAATATGATACATAGCATATATGTAATACAGCTTGCTTTTTTCTCTTATGTAACAAACTACAAATATAAAATATGGGTTCATCCTGGGGACTGTGAAGAATATTTCCTTTAAAGTGGCATCTGCATGAAAGCAACAAAAGAGCTGAAATTCCCTACATCCTCTTTGCTTTCCAGTGACGATTCAAGGCTTTTCACTGCATTTCACACAGGAGTAGTTATGGTTTACAGACTTAGAGATATTTTAATTAATGTTGACCATTTCCTTAGGGAACCCTATATGAATGGATCCATAAATGAAAACCCCATTAGGACTGTCTATTCTTAAGCTTTGTTTAATGGATGGGCAATTGTGGCTAATAAATTCCCTTTGAAAGCTCCACTGACATCATAGGTCTTCAGGAATAGCATGAAAGTACAAAATGACATACTAATTATTTTAAGCACATAAATCTCAGTAAGCTGGGAAAGACCATACTACAGAAAAAATAAAACATTTTCAAACTGCTTAAGAGACTACCAAAGGCAGCCAGCAGGGACCAGCAGTTGGCTTAATGGCTATGTTGCTAGACTCACATGTAGTTGACCGTGGTTCCAGTCCCGGACTCAGTGGCTTAAACTCATGCCAGGCACATGTGCGTGCGTGCCCAAGATCCCGAGAGGAGAATGGAGGAGAAGGGATTGTGGGATTGTGGCATGGCCATCCCTCTTGGGGGGTGATTTCTTGCTTTCTGTCTCTCTGTCTTTCTGGTGAGTGTACGCGCCCTATAGCAAAAACCTCTTAAAAAAAAAAAAAGTGGGCTAGCAGGCAGTATGGTGGTTAAGGTGCTGGATCTCATATGGTCGACTACATGGTTAGCCTCGAACCTGGTGGCTTGAAAAACATGCCGGGCACGTGTGTGTGTGTGTGTGTGTGTGTGTGCGCGCCAAAAGCCCAAGAATGGAATGGAGAAGGGATTATGGCATTGCTATCCCCCCCTGGGGGTGATTTCTCACTTTTCCTCTCATTCTCTGTCTCTCTGGTAAACACACACACCCTATAACAAAAATCTTAGCAACAGAAAGAAAAGAGAGAGAAGATACCATCAAAGAAAACATGTACTTCCATGGTATTTCCTCACTTTCTGAATTAAAAAAAAAAATTCTGTCTTTATAATAATACTGTTTTCTGTTTATACAGCCATTTCTTGTAACTGAATACTACTGGCTCAGTTGTCTTATATTAATATGGCTTCATTTAGATTCTCCTGAAGTGCTTAAATCTTCATGAAAGGACATTATCTTGTCACACTAAAGTGAATGGAAAATTAATGTTCTGGCACCTTAAAAATGATAGGCTATTGATTCAATAGATTAGATTGAAAAATTTGTTTCACTACAATCAAACATGGTTTAATCGTAAGGCACCCAAAATAGAGTTTTGAATCTGAAGAAGTAATTATAATGAGTTAGAAACTAGTTGTGAATGTGAAGACCCCTGTAAGAAATCAGTCACCTTAACACAATCTTGGAGATTCTCTAAGGTTTAATGAATATTTTATGGATTCACAGAGCCTCTCTGCTTCATTTCAGTTCTATTCACCTATAAACTTCTATGTTTATCTTATCTGTCCACCTACCATGTCTGGCATTTTAGAAGAATCACCACAATATTTGAGCATTTTGGTACTTCACACCAAGTCCTATGCTAGGTACTTTGTAATACTATTATAATATTAACTATATCCTGCATTACAGCCCACATAAATGCCACCAAGAGATAAGACGAGAATTTGCTCAATTTCACAGAGCTAGACCCTGAATTTGAATGTAGTCTAGGCTGCTGCAGATCATTCCTGGTGTTTCCTGAAAAGCAGTCTCTGCACCACCTAGGGTGAAACTTCAAACTGCGTAGGACTAGGCCTCATGCATATACTAAATCATACTCTTTGGAGATGGACTGCTAGATTCTACATGTTAAAGAAGGTTCCCAGGTGCTTCTGTACCAAGCACAGATCCTGGCTACTTCTAAATACAAGACCCAATTGTGATCAGATACTAGTTGTTCATTAATTATGGAAACTCAGGGTTTACATTCTAGCTGGGAATTTTTCACTGCCCTCTATGTTAACATTCCAATGGGCAAAATCAGAGGAGGATGAAATTCCCAAACCATCATGCAACTCTCTACCTAGTAAGGATTACATGGGAGGAACAACTTGTTTAATTAAAAGCACAAAACACACACACACACACACACACACACACAACACTACATGTACATACCAGCTTGAAAAAGGACACGGGAATTCTGAAGTAGAATATTTGTGCAATATTTAAATTGTTTTGGTTACATAAATGAACAATACTATTTATTGGATAGACTTGGCTGTCCATCCAGATTATTCAGAAATATTCACTTGACTTACAAAAAATTACAATAAAAGAATATAATGCAATCTTTCAAAACTAATACATGATAGGCAGGGAACAAAGTACTTTACAATGATTTAACACTTACAGTGACATTAACGAGGTAAGTTTTATTATTTCCATTTAAAAATGGAAGAAAGTCCATCTTGAAGAGATTATCGATTTAACAGAACTCTATTAATAAGGAGAGCCCAGAATTTAAACCCAATTCCTAAGACCAAAATGCCCCATACTCTAAGCCACATCACAGTGGCTTGGGGGTTCTCCATCTGAGTGGTTCTCAAAGTGTGGTTCAGCATCAGAATCACCTGGGAATTTAGAAGCATAAACTCTCAGGCCTCATCTTACTGAATCAGCAACTGTGGTCTAAGACTCCAAATCTGTGGTTTTTCTTTTTGTTTCTGATTTTGGCCTTAGGGTGTGTGTGCTCAGAGGAAAGAGACAGAGAGGGGGAGAGGGAGAGAGAGAAAGAAAGAGAAAGGAAAGTGAGAAATTACCACCCACCCACTCACCCCCCACCCCCAGAGGGATAGCCATACTACAACCCTTCTCCTCCATTCTTCTCTTGGGATTTTGGGCATGTATGCACATCTGCCCGGCATGTTTTCAAGCCACTGGGTCCGGGACATGAACCGTGGAGTTGGCCATGTGGGATCTAGCCCTTTAACTACCACTCATGCACCACTTGGTGCCAGCCCCCCGAAACTGTTTTTTAACAAGCTCTTCAGATGATTTGAATGCACATTAAAGTTTGAGAACCACTGCTTTATTTCATTCTCAACTGCCTAGAAAGTCAAAGCAAAAATAAGCAAACCAGTTATGGGTGTGGAAGACAAAGAATCTGGTGATGAACTCACTGTTTCAGGAATGTTGGCATTATTACAGCCAAACGAAGCTGACTATAATTGCCTGCTTCACTGCAGGCTTAATTCCTTGACACTTAAGTAACTAATCAATACTTGCCTTAGGTTTTCCCAGCAACTAGTGCCCTAACAGAGGGTCACTGCTAGTGCAGGACACTGCATAAATACTTGTCGAAGTCCACTTAAAACAAAAGTCCTGCTTAATCAGATTTCCATCTCCATTCCATAAACACATTTGGTTGCTTTCCTTTTCTCAAACTTGACCTTCAGATGCCCCCAAAGGAAAATGATGATGAAACCAGTTGGAAAATAAATTAAAGCAAGAAATGTCTAAATAGAGAGGAAAATAACAATTGTTCTTTATAGTAAGAACAACTGCTACTACTTACCATGTGCCAAAAACCAAGCTAAGCACATTCCCCGCTAGCACATTCACTTCTTACAATAAACTTATAAACTAGATATAGTAAGTCCTATTCACAGATGATAAAACTGATGCTTATGTAACTTGTCTAAGTTCATACAGCCAGTAAGTGACCTTCTGTCTTTGCACCTGACTACTAGATTAGGTTGCATCTCACTTGAACCATCTTCTTCATGCCAATATAATTTTCACTGATCTTCAAAATTTATGCTGTGTAGAGAAGCCATAGTGCATACCTTGAAATTAACCAATATGGTCAACCTGGGCCTAGGGAGTTGTTTGCTACCACCCCCGGGGCAGTGGGGCAGTCTGTCCTTGCCTCACTAAGGTCAGTTGTACCTATTTCTTCATGCAAAGTGTACTAGGTTTGCAAGAAGTTAAATATTTATACTCAGAAGAATGAAAGTAAGAGAAAAACCTGAAATGCCAACCCTGCTGACATGAAACATATTCAGAGCTAAATGCTCCAGAGCAAGAATAGCAGCAGCTGCTGCAGGGACATTTTGAGGGTAAAGCAAAGCCAAATTCCTCACTTCAAAAAGCCCTTCGAAGGGGACCAGCAGTTTGCATAATGGTTATGTCGCTGAACTCCCATGTAGCCCACCACGGTTTGAGTCCCAGACCCAGTGGCTTAAACTCACACCAGGTACATGTGCATGCATGCCCAAGATCCCAAGAGGAGAATGGAGTAGAACGGATTATGGCATGGCCACCCCCCCTCAGGGGTGATTTCTCACTTTCTATCTCTCTGTCTTTCAGGTGAGTGCAGTGCATGCACCGTATAAC